AACCTGACAGTGGATGAGACTATTGAGAGGCCTAAATTTGATGATATGATCTCCAAATTGTCAGAAAAAGTGATATATGACATTTTGATAATAAAAAAAGTGAAATGGTAAAATTTCAAAAATATTTGACAATTTGTGAGGGACAATTTTGATTTTAGTCAAAATTTTGTGATTTGTTTATTTACTTTTCAAAATTAGTGGAAAATATTTTAATGTATAATTTTTACTTTTTCTGCATCATAAAGGTTAGACGAGAAGAAGTATCATAATTTCACTCAATTTTGCCTAAAAATCATGATAAGTTGTCTGAAATTCTTCAGTTTACCCCCAATATTGCTGTCAAAATTTTAATTATTCATCTGTTGTAAAATGAACCAAAACGTCTTGCATGTCTTTATTTTCATTGTTAAATAACTTGGAAAGGATCCATGTGTTTGTCAGATATTGAAAAAGTATACATGTGTTTGTCAGAAATTTAAAAATTAAGAAAATTAGTCTAATTATGTACTGCTGAGGTATGTTAGAATTTTCAAAACATTAGTGAACTGCATTTTGTGGTGTGTTCCTCTGGCTTAACACAATTTTAATCTTTCAAAACCTGAAATTGTTGCATTTCCCTTCTCGAGAAAGTAAAATCTATGTGTTTGCAGGGGAAATTTCATTTCATTTAGACTGGCTCACCCTCCCCACCCCTTTTCTTGAACATGATATTTGGATATTCAATAATTGAACATTTGTTGACTTCAAATTTACTGCATCACATTTACTGTTATACATTTATAGGACCTTAAGGTAAGGCCAGTAGCGGATCTAGAAGCTGTGAATAGGGCGGCGGGCGATTCCAAATTTAGGGTGCCATCCTTAATCCCACCCCACAAAGAGCATAGATCATATTGCCTATATAGTTGTTCGCGGTTCGTTATCTTGCAAGAAAGCAGTTTTATTCATGTTGACACAAAGTTCATGTCATATTGTTATTGATTTTGTTATTAATTTTTTGTGAACCTTAGAGCAGGGCTCACACTGGCTTTCATTTTTTCCCCGCCAAAATGGATGATAGTTTTTATATAAAAAAAGGTTCATATTTTTTTCCACAAACTAGAATATTCTATCAGCCAAAAATGTGTGATAAAAAAGACAACATGTAACAGTTTTATGTCTCAGGTAGGCCTATTATAAAACAATTACCGATACAATATATACAACTTTAAAGATCTGTCTTTACATAATACATTGACACAGTTTTGATTTACTAAGATAAGATGTTATTTTTGGTGACTTTATTCTATTTGCACACCGTACAGCACAATATCAGCGAACTGGATGTATGAGATGTGTTGTTGACGTTTGGGAAAGTAGGACGAGGGGAAATGTGTAGGGAGTGAAGTGCTGTAAAGGGATAGTTAGATGTATTATGAATGGTTAGAGTGGCTGTGGTGTTACGGTGAAATACTATGCCGCCACCGTAACACCACAGCTTTATGATTTGTTAGACAGGAGTGATGTAATGGGTGTCAACAACTGGGTATGCTGGTACCGTCGCAACGTAGCCGTGAAATATATATTGTGGGGGGGGGGGGGGGGGAGGGCGGAAACGGAAAAATATACAATGTTGACAGTATGTGCCAGGCATGAGGCTGCGCAGACCGAGCGGCAGCTCGATAGGGAGTGTGTGGGAGGGTCACCCTCATAAAAAAATTTTTTTTTAAATTTCAGTTTTCTGTAAGCAGTGAAAACACTATTTTGGCATTGTTTGCGGGATTAAACCTAAAAATCACATTAATACACCTATTGCACAATATTGTGAAACTAGCTGACGAAGACAGCTCGGGCGGCGATTGTTCGACTCGGGGCTGCTCTGTCAGTATCTAACAAACGCATTTAGTTCGCGTACAACTTTTAAAAACCGAATGTCAGTATGGTATTTCTCACATAATTGGTTATCGCAAAAACAGAGTAAACTGAAAGCGAGTAATCTCGACTCAAACCTATAGTCTATAGCCTACTTACTACACTCGTCACTAGGCTTCCTATATTATTGTTTGTGGACGGTTTACTACTCAGTGATAAGCCTGCGCCGCAAAAAGAGGTCTCGCCTTCTATTATTAGTATAATGACTTCCTCATGTGCGGCAGGTTAGTTTGCTTCTAAAAACACTGTTTTCCGTTCCAAAAAATACACAAGTAATTTTCTACCAGATGACCATGGTTCTTTTCACCGAGACTAGATAATTTCTCTTGGTGTAAGGATATAGCTATGGATAAGTTCATACAAGGTCAATAAATCCACGATCACTTCGGGTCACACTGTTGAGAAAATAAACCGATGGGTTTGTTTAGTAGCAAATCGAGCGTGAATCAACTGAGTTTGTACTGAAAAATTTTTGAGTGATATGTATGAACTGTCTTCACACATTCAGTTTATAATTAGCGATACACAGGTACAGTGGCAAGTGTTGTACTTCACAGACTGTTTACCTCCGAACTACCTCCGCACGAAATCCCCGATTTGGGTACTTGTTAAAAGAAAAAGAAATAGTACCTGTGCGCATGCCAGTAAAAAAAAACTAAGAGTTCGCGCATAAAAATGCCCGAACGTACCAGGCGCCAGGTCATCCAGAAAGTTATGGTCTGATATGCGCAAATATCAAAAGGGACTGAGATCTTTGGGATATAAAGATATGTTTTAAGTTTCATCAGAATCGGATAAAAATTGTGACCTCTAGAGGGTCGACAACCTTCGTATTGCGTTCTTTTACACAATTTGCGTACAAAGAGCGGCCATTTTGTTGGGCAGTTTCATTTCGATTTTCCTAAAATTTGAATTTAACCTTTATTATGGTGGAATGGTGAAATATTTAAACGGTTTTTAAAATCGGGAAAAAAAATTGTGACATCTAGAGAATCCGCAAGCTAAAAATGCCATTTTTCGAACAATCAGGGGCCATAATCCAGGAAGTTTAGTTCGGGTATCCGCGATTGTTCACACATTTTTTTTAAATTAGATAAATATTGTGATCTCTAGAGGGACCTCAGCTAAAAACACAATTTTTCGTACAATCAGGGGCCATAATTCTGGAAGTTACTATCCGATATGCGCGAATATCGAAAGGAACCAAGATCCTTGGGTTGTAAACTTACATTTCAAGTTTTATCAAAATCAAAAGAAAGTTGTGACCTATAGAGGGTCCACAACATTGATATACCATATTTTTACGCGATTTGACTACGAGGCGTGGTCATTTTGTCTGTCAGTTTTGGTTCAATTTTTACGAAATTCTAACTCAACCATTGTTAGGGTGTAATGGTGATATATTCAAATGTTTTTTTAAATCAGATAAAAATTATGACCGCTATAGGGTCCACAAGCTAAAAACGTGACTTTTCGTACAGTCAGGGGCCATAATTCAGGAAGTTACGATTCGATATGCACGAATATCGAAAGGAACTGAGATCTTTGGGTTATAAACTTACATTTCAAGTTTCATCAAAATCAGAAGAAAATTGTGACCTCTTAGAGGGTTCACAACCTTGATATATCATATTTTTACGCCATTTGAGAAAGAGGGGCGGCCATTTTGTCTGTCAGTTTGGGGCCGATTTTCACGAAAATCAAACTCAACCTCTTAGGGTACAATGGTGATATTTTAAAACGTTTTTTTAAATCGGATAAAAATTATGACCTCTATAGGGTCCACAAGCTAAAAATGCAATTTTTCGTACAATCAGGGGCCATAATTCTTGAAGTTACAGTCCGATATGCGTGAATATCGAAAGGAACCAAGATCTTAGGGTGAAAAACCTATATTTCAAGTTTTGTTGAAATCGGATAAAAATTGTGACCTCTAGAGTGTTCACAAACAATTGTGGACGGACGGACAGACAGGGGCGACGACAATATACGTCCACATGAAAATGTGAAACTTCCAATCAGTAGAAACAGGAAACACAAACCAAATACAGACGGTTTGATGGGATCAATTTTGACTATGTCAAAATGATGCATTTGATATTCAGATAAGTTGATATGAAATAATAAATAGAATACAATATCAAAAAACCATCGTTTTATCCAACGTTTCGTCAGTAAAAATACTAACTTCTTCAGGGATGAAGAACTAAATTCAAAATGACTGGAAGTCAGTTATGACATCATAGGAAGTTATGATATCGTGGGAGTGATGACGACATAGACTTAGATACATAACGTGAAAGGTTAGCTTAATTAAAACTTAGGTAAAATTTTACAAGTTAGGAAAACTTATGAATGATTTTGAAACCCCCTGGATTTAACTCATTTAAACCGTTAGGCCAAACTGAATCAAGTCTATGAATCCACAGACTTTCTGCCGTGTTCAATTTTTTCTGATCTTTATCAGGAATTTTTTGTACTATGGTACACACGAAATCATGACCCGATATATTAAAATGGGAGGTTACATGGGGGGAATGGCCAGGTTTTTTAAGCTTTATATTACTTCGGTGCTTATTAAGTCGAGTGCTGAAAGGAGTAATGGTTTGGCCTACATATTACATACTACAGGTTTTACATGTTAAACAATATACAACATAAGAACTGGCACAGTTGACAGAGTCTCTAATCTTGAATGATTTCATGTCTTTACTGGTTACTTCTTGATTATTACACATAGTCTCGCATGATTTGCATAATTTTCGTAAACAAGGTTGACATCCGTGTGAAATTTTGTCCTTAATATGCTTATTACTGGTGTCAGAAGTTCTCAACTTATTTTCTTTCAAGATATTGCCAATAGTGTGGTTCTTCCTCTCTGCTATTATACATATATCGTCACAAGAAATTATGACTGATTGGACAGATTGATGTCAACAATATGGATAGTAAATACAGAAAGTTAATAACTAGTGGTACATGTAGTACAAAGGGCATTTCATTTAAAATATGTTGATAGCCAGCATAGTAATATCAGAATTGTATTTTGTTATTTTAATTATATAGGTAACTTTTCAAATGATTCTTACCATCCAGACAATATAAGCAGCATTACACAATCTTCTTGATACTGGTTCCACAGCATTACTGAGAAACCATAATAAACACAAACTTAACATACACATAGCTACTAGAGAAGATAGGAATTTCAACCATTCATGTAGCTTGGTCCTATAAATAAAACATTCACATCTTTAGAAATAACATGAATACGAGACTAAAACCAGCAGCTGGCAGTTTTGGTCCGATTTTCACGAAATTCGAACTCAACCATCATTAGGGTGTAACGATGATATATTCAAATGTTTTTTTAAATTCAATAAAAATTGTGACCTCGAGAGAGACTACAAGCTAAAAAGGCGATAATTCAAAGGCGATAATTCAAGGGCCATAATACAGGAAGTTATGATCGGAATATCAAAGGAACCAAGACCTTTGGGTAAATGTATTTCAAGTTTCATCAAAATCGGATCAAAATTGTGGCCTCTAGAGGGCCCAGAACCCTGATATACCATATACAGTGCACTCTGTCACATCCGACATCGTACGGGATCGTACGCAGAGTGTCGGAAAACCGGAAGTATTACTATAATGTAGCTTCGAACATAGAACTTCAAATCACCAGAATGTTATTCCCTTTAAAAATGATAAACCTTTCTGTGATAGGACTGAATTCCGCGTCACTTGATTGCAATTCTGTCAATTCGGGACGTTCCGGACTGTGATTGTGAATCGAGCATCCCCAGGTCGTCGTCACACGGTTCAAAGAGATCCGTAGGGTGACCAAACTTATAGGTTATTCAGGTTCAATCGGCATGTGCAACGAATGTTTCCAACAGGTGCTAGGAATATTTTTACGACTGTGAATTCGGGGGAAAATTTGTGGATATTCTTGAGTATTTGTCATAACTGTCGTACAAGAGATTAAAATTATCAAAGTGTCGGATGTAACAGAGTGCCGGAGTGATCAGAGGTCGGATGTGACAGAGTGCACTGTATATATTTACACTATTTGCGTACCAGGGGCGGCCATTTTGTCCGGCAACTTTGGTCCAATTTTCGCGAAATTCGAACTCAGGCATCATTAGGGTGTAACGGTGATATATTCAAACGTTTTTTTAAATCAGATAAAAATTGTTACCTCTAGAGTGACCACAAGCTAAAAACGTGATTTTTCGTACAATCAAGGGCCATCATTCTAGAAGTTATGACCTGATATAAGCGAATTTTGAAAGGAATCCAGATCTTTGGGTTATAAACAAGTATTTCAAGTTTCATCAAAATCGGATCAAAATTATGACCTCTTGAGGGTCCACAACCTTGATATACCATATTTTTATACCATTTGTCTGGCAGTTTTAGTTCGATTTTCAAGAAATTCAAACTCAAACATTATTACAGTGTATCGGTGATATATTCAAACTTTTTTTTAAATCAGATAATAATTATGACCTCTAGAGTGACCACAAGCTAAAAACATGATTTTTCGTACAATCAGGGGCCATAATTCAGAAGTTATGATCCGATATGCGGAATTCAGGAAGTTATGATCCGATATGCTTGAACTTTGAAAGGAACCAAGATCTTTGGGTTATAAACATGCATTTCAAGTTTCATCAAAATCAGATCAAAATTGTGACCTCTACAGGCTCCACAAGCTAAAAAAAACATGTGATTTTTCGTACAATCAGGGGCCATAATCCATGAAGTTATGGTCCGATATATGCAAATATCGAAAGGAACCAAGATCTTTGGGAAATAGACCTATATTTCAAGTTTTATCAAAATCGAATAAAAATTGTGACCTGCTGAGTGTCCACAAACCAATTGTAGAAGGACAGGGGCAACGACATGAAAATGTGGGCGTGTCAAAATTATATGCACCAAGAACAACTACACACGCTAGAAATAGATGCAGAGAATGTCAAAGATAGGTTGCCAGGCAACGAAACATACGCCCACAGCAACTAAATCGTCCGCGCAGTCACATATTTTTACTTTTTTCTGTAATGAAACATTTATAATACACTAAAATCTGATTAAGAGTAACAACTCATTAAGTAATTCAGAAAATCCTTAGTATTTGTTTGGTTTTTATAAAGTTCTGCCCCATGCTAACGTTTAGTATACGAAACATTTAATATCAAGGATCTAGCTGTTCAAGTTATCAAAATTCATTGAAAATCGATATAATTGTTCCTCTCAAGAAGTTAAGAGTGTCCGTGAGAAAACCATGCAGAAGGTGCTAAGGCTTTAATCACAGATTTTGACCAAATTTGGTTTATAAGTTGGGATAGTCCCAAAACACATAAATGTGCAATATTAGATAAATCTTTCAATTCCTGTATGAGAAAATTGAAAAAACATTTTTCATATGGTGAAATTGCCAAAATCTGTCTTTTCTCAAATACTAACTTTGGCAAGTCCTTACACCTTTACTAAACGTAGCAGAAAGACCAAACTCACACAGTTTATCGATGACTCAGTGCTGTTACCACAATATTAACTTCAGACGATTCTGGCGAACGAGATCTGTATACGGACTGGATATCAAAGCCTGTCTAAATTCCCCATTTTTCGTCACCCAAAGTTTGACGCCCTATAGCTACTTCTTTCATGGGGTGGGTTTAAAAAATTTATGCTCACGTGAACAAGCAACCTCCCAACATTTGATACAAAAAATAAAAATGACCGGAATCGACTTGACAAAAACTAGGTAAAGGAAACAATAACCCATGAAATTATCCTGTAATTTCCCTATTTTGGAGATAATTAACCGTAGTAGATAAAAAAAAAACTAACAATTTATTTTCCTTTTCATTCATATGGTGTTTACTACCAGCCCTAAAATACATTAGTATCTGTTTTATAAAATTATCTTGAAAAAAAATACTTTCAAAGGCCTGTAATCGTTCATGGCTCATCTGGCGTCAACGGGAATTGACTTCTGCAGTTGTCCACGACCTTCAATTGGAGTTTCGACGTGCTCACTCTTAACAAACACATCCATTACTCTCAAATAGACATTATTTTAAATAAAATAATCCAACGAAAATGAAAAATTCACCTAAAAGTGAGATTCGAACCACCAACCGCATGACTTCCCCCGACGCACCCTCTCACCAAGTTGTTTGTCCCAGGGCCCCAAGGTCCATGTCGTGGGCCCTGTTCAGGGGGTTTGCCTAGGGCCTCTCTTATTCTAAATCCAGCCCTGAAGGTGCAGCTGACGGTGCCCGAGAGCTGTAGCTACCATACTACACTGTTCAATGTCACCCACTTCAACGCAATTAGGCTTCGTTGCCGTTAATATTTAAGCTTCCACATTTCTGTATTGTAGAAATCAGTGGATGTGTCCCAAAATGAATAGTGGAAACATGCTCTGAAATTAAACATTTTGTAGCCATTTTCGGTAACTTGTTTGAAAATGAAATCTTAAAGAGACAATACAACAAATATGTTAAAGGGACAATACGACAATACCAAATATACAATAAATACAAATACAGACTTATATAGAGTACAACATGGTACAAATAATGGCTATGGATGGTGCTGATATCAAGTATCGATGCATCGATTTGGCTGACGCTGATTCGATTCTCGGTCCTTTTTTGTATTATCGATGCATCGGCAAAAAATACTAATAATTAGCTTTATGTGTCCGAGGAGTGCGAGGACTCCGAGGAGTTCACAAGTTCGTCCACTAGAATAAAAAAAACATCTTTTCAATATGTTTTTATAATTCAAAATAAAACAATATATATGTAACGGAACAATTCAATGAATCCCGCACGAACTATTATTAGGCTTGACCTGTTTACCCTACGCTTCCGTTATGTTTGTCTCCATTTTCCAGAGACTACAAAGACTGCGTTTGCTGCAATGATGGGATTTTGCCCGTTTATTCCGGACTTGTCCGAATCTTTTTTCCAAACGCCCAAAATTGTCCCACCGGGAATATGCCCAATCGGACATCAAGACATGGTGAATAATATTCAAAATTCCGAAAATAATATAGTTTACTGAGTGTATAACTACCACTCAACCCGATTATCGTTGATAATACGCTGGGTTTATTAGGTAATTAATGTAATAATATTGCTAGAATTTTTGCTCTTGAAATAAGATGCCTTTATATTTCATTAATTAATATCTTTGGCAAGTAATTTCAAACATATTCACATATATAGTGTGCACTAAATCAACTTAGTCTGTAATTGACAGTTGACATATAAAAAAGAGCTCTTTAACCAAAACGTGTCAGTAGTTTACCACCAGAATTACACGTGAGTGGAATTATTCTAATTGCATCATTTGATTTAAAGTAACCAATCATTTTGTTAATTACACAAGTTCAGGGCCATGATCACGCGTTATTGTGCATGATATTCATTTACCTTTAAAAGAAACCGGGGAACCCTGTAAGTCAGACTTGCATTAGATTCCAGAGATCGAGGGTACATCTGAGTTCCTAGACAGCCGAGAGGTTGGATAGGGTGGAGAAGTGGTTTTAGCTATATAGTATTGTAATTTGTGCTATGCTTGTATACCTGTATTCAGTTATATGCTATATAAAATGTAGAAGCGAACTATGCATTATTATTCCTGGTAAGACAAACGTCTTAAGAAACTGGAAGAAGTATATACACAACGTGAAGCAGAAGTAAAGACAGCTAGAGTCAAATTCTAGACGATCACAAGTCTACAGAAATATGTAGTAAGAAAAGATGCATGGGTCGTACGTAGGATGTGGGGACCGGTTTCCCATAGACGCTCTCCGCGTCAGGCGGAAAGACTCATGGTGCTACATTAAGTGATCAACGTATTTATCGTGTTATACCGTCTATAGTATAAACCTACCTTGATTTAACTACTTAATCTGCCTTGATTGACTGACTTAATCCTTTGTCGGACAATTCATCAATCTAATCTTAAACAGAAGTCATTGCTTTCCTTTTGTCGGACTATTCATCAATTCAATAAGAATGATTATAATTTTAATCCACCTGTTTACCTCGTGGTTTCTCATTTGTCGGGCATCTTAATCGCATTGATGTGAGCCGACATCATCTATAATAAACTAATCATAGATGTCACATATCGTAAGAGTAAATAACACCCTAAATCAATGGACAGTCATTTTGTCTACTATATCTGTTACGTCTTTTAAGAATCCATACAGAAATTCTCATCCACAGTGGCACTTTCCCTTGATCTCTAGCGCGGCACGAATATTGCTTAACATATTATTAGGCAGTGCTTACTATGAAGCCGTGTGATGTGAGTCACGTAGGCTATTAGTCTCTATTATCCAGAAAAATATTCTACAAATATGTTGAAGACTAGGAGTTTCTGGGTGACCGAGACTAGTACTAACCCAGCAAAATAACAAAAAGGGGAGGGGCTACCAATAGCTATATGAGCAGAAATTCTAACGTATTTGTAGGCGGGAATTAAGAAGCATGTCAATCATTCTGCTGTGTTGCCTATGATGCCTGTCACTCTGTCGAGACTATGAAAGAGTGTTATTCGCTGAAGTTAGCAATGCCTGTTTACAAGTGATTTAACTATTTCGGAAGTTCTGCATTCATTTGCTGCCGTATAAACGAAGACACGTAATTCTAAAGGAATATTATGGTTGTGAATTTGATGCCGAAGCAGGATCGGCAAGCTTTCATTCAACATATTACGAAAATGCTTAATTTTGTAGGACATTTACTGACATAAATTTGAATGCCGTACGGGAATTAAGTGTGAAAAATTGCGAGGTCACCAATTTTTATTACGTACAGGATTTGAATATTTTGTTGACATGTGGTTTTTAATTGTGGTATGAATTGAATACTGTACGGGAATTAAATATCAAAAAATAGCGAGGTTCACCTATTTTTATTACGTACAGGATTTGAATATTTTGACATGTGCTTAAATAACGATAAGAGTTATGCTATCGTGTCCTTTAACCCCAAGGTCAATTTCACGGTTCATTTAAATGACCAAACAAACTGTCAGAAGGATCATATTTCGCGGCCGGTTCTTAACGCTAGTTTTAAAACGATTCAGTCTTATTTTCTGCCACGAGCAATAGAGAATTCATAAACCCCTATAGACAGGCTTTGATACGATCCGTATAAATAATGCAAACACTGTCTCTTGTAATCACCTCACCCCTGACGCCTTCACAACAAATTTGAACAATGGCTAACGAGTGTCAATTGAAGTGAATTGGACGATATTAATGTCATAATAAATAACAGAAGAATATTGTGGAAATAAATTTATTCAAATAAATCGACATTTCTATAATAGGCCTAATGATAATGTTAGGGAAATTTATGTTTCTATCAGAAATACTAATGTTATTTCTGTAATTTTTGATTAACAAAATGGCGGCAAATTCCCGATGCATCGATACGAGAATCAATGTTTGCGTCCGATGCATCGATGCGTAAAATTTTACTTGATATCAGCACTAGCTATGGATATGATGAAAACGTATAAAAGTCAAAATTTTTATTTCTCTAATGAAATTCGCAAAAAAAATGTATCACAAAAGCTTTTTTTTTTTAGCACTTTTCAATAAGCTGTATATTTTAAGTATGTTGCATTCCGGTCATTTTTTTTACACCTATGGATACTATGTGCTTAGCACTTCAAAACCATCCAAAGAAATTCTACTTGCAACCATGAAAGAAAAAGTTACAGTGTATCTTTTTCTGCACTATAAGGACAATGTGAATATGGTACCCTAAAACAAGTCTACACAAAATTAGTATGTACTGATTTTTTTTTTTCAAATTAGTGCTGGGGTAGAAGTTGACCACCCGCTTTATCAGACAGGGTCAAAATTAGAAGGTTGCTATTCCACCATAGAATGCAGTCTGTGCTTAAAAAAGGTGGTAAATACACATGTGAAAACCGCAATTTTACCCATAAAATGAATAATTCCTGTACAGTCCTTTAGAGCGACATCAGACTGTAACCACTTCAGCATGTTACCTCTTGCCCCTAGGGGGTGTCATACCATAAGTTTGATCAAAAACTTCCGACCCCCCATCTTAGCACTTTTTGCGATTTTTGCATGGTCTTCTAGCGGATACACTCTTAAACTCTGTGTATCAATCTGAGGTCATCGAATGATAACTTTAGCCTCTAGAGCATCAAAAGATTTTTCAAAGTGATCAAGAGCCATAACTTTGGCAGTAATTATTGGAAATTGTTGTAAATCAATAGGATTCTTCGTCTCATGACCCCAAACACTGCGTATAAATTTAAGGTCAATCGGATATTAACGTTAGCCTCTAGAGCGTCCACAAAGTGATCAAGGGCCATAACTTTGGCAGTAATTATCGGAAATCGTTGTAAATCAATAGGCTTCTTCGTTTCATGACCTTAAACACGATATATAAATTTAAAGTCAATCAGATATTATCGTTAGCCTCGATCTAGAGCATCCACAAGATATTTTGAAGTGATCAAGGGCCATAACTCTGGCAGTAATTATCTTATTATCTTCTTAGGACTCATGTATGTATATTTTTATCTCCACCTTTAAGACATTCATCTACCAGGAATAACATGCATCAGTTCATTTTTACATTTTATATCAAGCACTGGTTACATAAGATATAAGCAAAGATAACAATAAAGTTATTCTCTCCTCACTCAACCCCACCATTTCGTAGGCGACTTAACAGGCATTCTGAATCCAGATGGCATCTCTTGAGCCTCAACGGTATATGCTCTCCAAAAACTACATGGTTGTCTGATGAATGCCTAGAGATTGATAGTTTTCTAGCCTTCGGTTGAGTTTCAATTATCTAATTGGTCAAATATTACATAATTAATTATGATGATTGGTTACTTAAGCCAAATGATGCAATCGTAATTTTCTGATCACGAGTGATCTGGTGATATTTTGCTCACACATAGAACCAGCTATGTTTTGGTTTTAAAAATCTTTTCATGTGTCAATCCGTCACTCATTATTTTAGTGTGTGAGATCACTTCTCTACCAAACTAAAACCCACTAATTTGTTCAAGATAAAACATAATGCTATCATTAATTTAAAGAGCAAAAATTCTATCAATCTTATTACATGTGTCTGATAGGTGATCATAAGAAACTTGTATGAGATGTTCTAATTTTGTCATTTATAATCTTACAAATGGATTAATCATTACATAATATTCACCTTTTTATAAACAGATATTGTCCAAGCTGAACACCTGCAAAATATAAAGCTGTATAGCCTATACAAGAAAACAGACCTTCTCTGTTAGCATCTAATATACCATATCTGGTTCCTTGACCATCACTACCATTCAATATATACTGGGATAATCCACATCTACACAATGCATACTGATATAAAACTGTTATAACAACACTTAATATACTACTTGTAGTAACTGGCAAAATACATAATATTACTGTGGAAATGATCTGAAAAATGAAACACATTCTTAATTTAACAAGCTGATGTCCCCCATCGAAATGAAATGAAATTAAGTGGGGTTTAACATCCTACTGTTCTGTTCTAATGTAAAGTGAACGCAATGATTCATTAACCCAAATTTCTTGTGGAAGTTCATGTGCCATATCATAGCAGCATTTAAGGGACTAATTTATAATACCAGTTAGTATTACCTTTACAGCAGCTAAAGTAAGAAAGAAATTCCAATGAACACCATATTCTGAAACATGTTCCTGGTAATCTGCACTTTTAACAAACAACACTCTTAATAAACCCAAAACAATCAATGGTATACTGCTCTTTATCATATTTTCTATAATCAGCACTTTATCAGAGAAAAATCTAGAAATTAAATACATAAATAAGACTAAATTTAAAATATCCACAAAAATATTCAATAATAAAAAAAAAATTGTCAAAATTTGATGCCTAATATCTCTGAAGATTCATCAAAAATCTAAAGAACCGCACACTCCTTGCAGTGTTTCATTTGATTAGAGCTAATCCCACTTAACACTGCTGTAAAGGAAGCAAATTTCTGTTCCAAATTATGACTGGTCAATAGTCCGATTAACAACCAATAGCTAACTGCGTAACAGTATCTTTACGTTTTAAACAGAGCTCCAAATTGGACCAAATATGTTTACATAACGTTACGTCATGTCTCACGATTTTATTAAGCCCAATTAACAAGTTCATAGCAGAATATTGCAGAAAAACTAATTGCGTGACAGACGAGACTATCAACACGGATACAATGTAAACATTACTGTATGGAGACGAACAATACTTTCACCATTTTTAATACCTTAAATCACTGTCCAAAGGTTTAGGGAAGACCCAAGATTAACCCTTAATTGATATGGCCACCTGTCTTGTCAAGGGCATTGAGAAAAACATGTCTTTGTTCAACATTTTTTGACAAAGACAGGTTGCCAGGCAACGAAACATACGCCCACAGCAGCTTTATCGTCCGGGCAGTCAACAAGAGTTGTCGCATTTTTTAAAATTTTTTTGGTAATGAAACATTTATAATACATTAAAATCTGATTAAGAGTAACAACTCATTAAGTAATTATTAGAAAACCATTAGAATATCGTTTGGTTTTTATAAAGTTCTGCCCCATGCTAACGTTTAGTATACGAAACTTTTAACATCATGGATTTAGCTGTTCAAGTCATAAAAATTCATTGAAAATCAATATACTTGTTCGTCTCAAAACCTTAAACTCTGTGTATCAATCTGAAGTCGATCGGATGATAACTTTAGCCTCTAGAGCGTCACAAGATTTTTCAAAGTGATCAAGGGCCATAACTCTGGCAGTAATTATCGGAAATCACTGAAAATCAATCGGCTTCTTTGTCTCATGACCTTAAACACAGTGTATAAATTTAAAGTCAATCGGATATTAACTTTAGCCTCTAGAGCGTCCACGAGATTTTTCAGAGTGATCAAGGGCCATAACTCTGGCAGTAATTATCAAAAGTCGCTGAAAATCAATAGGCCTCTTCGTCTCATGACCTTAAACACTGTGTATAAATTTAAAGTCAATCGGATATTAACTTTAGCCTATAGAGCGTCAACAAGCAATTGTGGACGCCTGACCGCCGCGATAACAATATACGACCACATTTCTGATGAAAATGATTTAGAATGATTTTTATTGGTGTCAAGAGCCTATCACTTTTAATTATCCGACAGTAGTCGATTGAAATAGGCATACAAAATATTTCACTTTAGCCTTGATTTCATTTAGCCTGACCACTTGAGGTCATGACATCAAAATGAGGTCGACCAGTTAAGGGTTAAACGAAGGGCTGTCATGTTGCTGAACTTGAGATAGATTTGATTGAACAGGAAGAATAGACACACTTCCTCAAAAACTTAAGTATCGGAAGCCAATCCAGCAATGGCCATGGAGGGATTTCTCGGGCCATTGCTTCAGGAATATGAAAGAACCGTAGCTATGTGCCTTGTATCTGGCTATGTCAAAATGTATCAAATGTTAAAATCTGACGATTATTGTTAATATTACGGTAATATTTAAAAGATAGGTTGCCAGGCAACGAAACATACGCCCACAGCAGTTATAATATATCGTCCGGGCAGTCAACAAGAGTTGTCGCATATTTTTACTTTTTTCGGTAATGAAACATTTATAATACATTAAAATCTAATTAAGAGTAACAACTCATTAGAATTTGTTCTGCCCCATGCTAACGTTTAGTGTACAAAACTTTTGCTGTTCAAGTCATAAAGATTCATTTTTCAAAGTGATTAAGGGCCATAACTCTGGCAAAAATTATCGGAAATCGCTGAAAATCAATAGGATTCTCCGTCTCATGACCTTAAACACTGTGTATCAATTTAAAGTCAATCGGATATTAACTTCAGCCTCTCGAGTGTCCACAAAATTTTTCAAAGTGATCAAGGGCCATAACTCTGGCAAAAATTATTGGAAATCGCTGAAAATCAATAGGCTTCTTTATCTCATGACCTTAAACACTGTGTATAAATTTAAAGTCAATCGGATATTAACTTTAGCCTCTAGAGCGTCCACAAGCAATATATGACCACATTTCAGTTTCTGTTTTAACAAAAACAATAATGTTTCACACAATTGTTGTCTGATTCTGCAAAATTATACACTTGTTACGCCTGTTCCCTAAGAGGATCGTGATTGTCTGATTTTGTCACAAAAATTTTATGATTTTGGCACGAAGAATGCTCGAATAACAAAATATAGTGCTAATGTTGATAATCAATGGTCATCGCATGGAAAATACTGATTTTTACACATTTTCAGAATATTGTAGAACACTAGTGGGGTTAGTGCCGGTCAGTTTTTTTCGTCTGACATATACTTGGACCTTTTTACGATAACTTACAGAAAATTCAGCACGATTCGTTCATTCCCAAACGATTGCAGGACTTTAAGTCGACCACTTGGCCTGACCAATAGTAAAAATTTAGGGTCATAACATTTCAAATAAAACTTCACAGGAGCATTTTGAAAAAAAGGGTAAACAAGAGCATTGCTAACGCTGCAATATACGTCCACATTCCTGCTTGGATTGACATGGTACTTTTTAAAATAAAGAAAATGAAATATGAAATGGCGGCAGTGACTGTAATATGACAAGAGGCGAGAAGGCTAGGCGATGGGTTGGTTTTGCCAAATTTACAGAATAAGGAATAAATATGCAAAGTTCCAAGATGATCCATTCAGAATTGCAGACTGTAGACGATAAACACAACAATTGGACATAGCTCTGCCCCTGGGGGTTGGATATGCTGAATTTGAACAAAATCGGTTAATAATTGCAACCTGTAGAGTATTTACAGACAAAAAATTAACAGATAAAAAATAAACCAAAATAGATAGTTGCTATCCTTACAGTATAATAAGGAATAAATATGACAAGTTCCAAGATGATCCATTCAGAATTCCAGTCTGTAGACAAAAAACACAAAAATTGGGCGTGGCTCTGCCCCTGAAGGTTTGACATGGACTGATATAAATAAGTACCACCCTATGATGGATCATGCCGAATTGCATCCAAATCTGTTAATAATTGCAACCTGTATATTATTTACAGACAAAATATTAACAAAAAGTGGGTGTGGCACACCAAAAACAATAGGGATCATCCTTAGGGTACAAGGAATAAGTATGGCTATTTGCACAGTAATGGGACACATTACTCCCAACAGGAATATTAAAAGAAATGTAATAATAGGTCATTTATCTATTTTGATTCATACCAAGGGACCATTTTATAAATTTAAAATTCATATATTGTGATAGTTTAGCGGGTTTGCTCCTTCATATGATTGTTTACGTAACAGTACCCAGCCAGAGATAGCAAAAAAGAACCACAGATGTTGCATGAATGACCATTTGAGGTTTAGAAATGACTGTTCGACCTTTTTAAGTTAATAGTATGTTATTTCCACCTTATAATAACTTTGAATGGACTGTTTATTCCCATTACTTTTAAAATCATAGATGAATTATCAATTGGCATAACTCGGATGGAAAATAACAACTGTTATATCTCTACAACATTTAATTTCTTGATTTAATTATTTACAATAATTTTTATTCAATCTATGAATAATGTATTAACCAAACAAATAACAAAATAATCTGTTGCCAAGCTTTCATCAAAATAAATGCTGGATTTTGTTCGTTATATTGGATTGAAATGTAGTAACGTTATCAATAACTGGATGGAAAATAACGTTATCAAAAATGTGACGGATTCTAATGATTGAATTGGTAACAAATTTGATGTAGATTTGATGTGTAAACGGGATCTAAAGCAAAATAGTAGTATAGCAGACACCTGACCCTCGATTTGGACGGAACCAGAAACCCAGATGTTTACATTCTGAACAGGTGTGCCAGCTTCAAAAATCGATCGTTACTATTTTGCGAACGTTAACAAAACAGATGGAATGTGAAAACATGAGGAATTGATAGATTTACCGATGTCGCTTTTTTATTTTCTTTATTCTCCCCAATGGCGAGTCTTATTCGCTTCCGTTTTTGCGAAAAACCGTTCCTTGTGAAAAGTTACAAAAAAATTTGGAATGCATTTCATCCGAAGTCAACGTTATGTGTTTGCGGATGGAATGAACTTACGTGACGTCACGTTTGACATTTTTTTAGTACAAAAATAACAAGAAAATGATTCCCAAATACAGAATAGATCGGTATAAGACATACCTTGTGCTTAATTCTACTAAATTTTACCAATGTGAGTGCACTTATTGTAAAATATCAACACTTAGACACTTTACAAAATATTGAGCATTACGTTGTCGTCTTGGATGGAAAATGTGAAAAAAATATGAGAAAACTGAAGGAAAGATATTGTTATTTTTACTGTGGCTAGAGACCTGTGGTGTTGTCCTAATTCAACACTTAATAATTATGAAACAATTTTATCAAGATAATTCAAACATACACTAAATTTTTGCTGGAAGTCTGAAGCCTTATCCAATAGGTACCATTTTTTGGGAGTTTGGCTCCATCCAAATTATGAGGGTTTCCAATTGTTTTTTGAGAAAAAATATGTAATTTTCATGCAGGTATTTTATATTGTATTTTCTGTCTCACATCCCATACATCAATAAGGAACAATAACAAAATAATAACAAATATCAATATATTTTTATTTTCAACATGTTCAAGTTGACTGCTATGTTTTGTCCCTTTACTGTGCAAAGAGCCGTATGCAAAGTTTCAAGAATTGCACCCTGTGGCCAACCCACAGACACACAAATACTGATGCACACTTATACATACACACACAGACAGGGGCGATGGCATAAT